TTCTTAACGTTTTGGGGTTTGGTGCCCTGGATGTGTTGGTGAATGATAGGTATGGCAGAATCTAGCAGGAAACACAGGAGGAGTTGGGGCTGCTATGGAGGACTTGAGCCCTTCTCTTCAAAAGTTGTGAGGAGTAAGTAGTCCATTGAGTTTTCCTTTTATGGTACTGGGGATTGAACCCAGGGGTGCTCTGCCACAGGGCTGCACCCTGGCCCTTTTTATTTGAGAAAGGTGTTTTTGCTAAGGCTGTCCTTGAACTTGTGATCCTCCTGCCTCAGCCTCCCGAGTCACTGGAATTACAGGCATGTGCCACTGTGCCCAGCTATAAATTGAGTTTTCAAAGATAGTGAAGGAAACCATCTCTCCAGGACACACAGTGGCTGATGGGTACCTGCTCTTGTCCCTCACACCTGCTGGAGGAGAACTAAAGAGGTCAGACTCKGGAGTCTGACCTCGGATTCCAGTTTGGAGAGGGATGTGGAATGGCAGAGTCAACCCGGGTGTGCCTTGTCCAGCACAGTGCTCTGGTGCTGTCCATCCACACATGGTGCCTGCCCTTGAGTGGCCTTCAGCCCAGGATGCACTGCAGGGGCCCCATAGGGCACGCTGTGCTCTCCTTCTCCTTGCACTGGGCCGCTGGGTTCCAGTCTCCTGCCTTCTGAAAGGTGTACGCAGTGACTGCACCGTGGGCTGAGGTTTTCAGCGCCATCCTCTTATTTCTCTCCCAAATGTGCACAGGCATCGTAGACAGCATTTCYTACCGAGGAAGGTCAACTCTGAAGGGCCCAGCCAGCGGGGGCTTTGCAGAGCTCACAGGAAGCAGGAATGAGCTTCGCTGGCGCTGAACGCTGTGGTCTTGCCGCCTAGGAAGGGAGGGAAGCGGTTCCCTCGGCTCCTGTGGTGGTGAAGGGCRCTTGTCCCACAGTTGGCCTGCCAGGGCGAAGGCTATGTCTGCCAGCCGTTCTCCAAACCTGTGCTCCTGGGCCAGGTCTGCCTCCCTGGCTCCATTTCCTGATGCCCAGGACGGGGGTGAGAAGACCCATGTCAGGGTTGCTTTGAGGGTCAAGCTGGCCCTGTCTCCAGGTTCTTGTCCCTGTATAACCAGGCTTAGGCTGCAGCTGCACCAAGCACGATGGACTTTGACACTAAGGCACTTGTGTTGCCTTAGGGTGGAAGTCCTCTGAAGGGAGCTGTGAAGGAGAGAGGAGCGTGTGCACGGCYGTGGGCAAACTCGAGGACTTGAGCATCCTCAGGTTATGGGCCTGGGGGGTTCCTGGAAGCTCCTTCAGATCCTAAGGGGCAGCTGACATCGTAGAGGAGTCCCAGGTGTGCAGTGTGTCCTGAGGGGGCCCACTATGCTCGCCAGTCCAAGCTGGTTCTGATCCAGTTTGATGTCTCAGCGCTGGTGCCTGTGAAGAGTGCCTAGCCAAACCTGAGTTTTATGAACCCAGGAGTGTTTAAGGCCCCTTTTCAGCCATAGAGCTCAGTGAGTTGGTCAGTACACCAAAAAGCCCGGGACTTAGGTTGGTGCCTGTTGACGGTCAGGATCTTTCTCAGATGTGTTCTCAGCTCTGGGCCTTCTCGGAGGGACTCCTATAGGACCCGCCTGGAGGTCAGGGATTGGAGCTGGAGCTTCTAGGGGGCTTCTCATTCCAGTGCTGGCCCAGTCCTCTGGGCCTCCTGTGGTGCTGCCAGGAGGGTGGAGGTTGCTCAACTCTGATCTGACACCTGGCAGGTGACTGGGAGGGTCCTGCCGGCCCCCTGGGGAGGGCTGGGTTGGCGAGTTCCTTGTGGCTCYTGTGGACTAGGAGGAAGCCCCCAGCTTTTCAAAAGCAAGTCCACATGGCCTCACGCCTCCCTTACAGCCACAGACCCTCTGTCAACAGGGTCTGGACAAGTGGCTCATTACCTCACTGTGTTAGGCGCTGCCCCGTGACAAGGTCCTGGCTGTGGGGCCTTTTTGTGGGGAGCAGACTTCATTGCTCATAGTTCCCAAGGCTGGCAGCCCTGGGCCAAGGTTCTGGCTCACCTTCCAAGTAGCATCTGTCACAGTGTCCTCTGGAGGGACGGCCGTGTACTCACTTGGCGGGAGGAGCAGAGGGTGAAAGGGAGGACTGCTGTGTCCACACCCTCTGGAAAGCGAGACCTGCTGCTGGCTGGTCCCACCAGTGAGGCCTCGTCCCCAAGGCTCCTCGCCTCTGAAAAGCCCCCTGCTACTTGTCATTGTTGATGAGATTCAGTTTGAAGTCTGCCAACACTATGAGACCTTAGCACTAACTTGGTCAGTTCCCTCATTTGGGGATGGGATGGACTAAGTCTTCCGCTGCTGCTGCACACGTGAAGGTGTCCTGAGTCGCTCTCCTGATCTTCATGGGTTCCACTTCTCCTTCCCGAGATCCTGCGTTGACCTCATCTCGACTTTGTGTTCAGAATCAGCCCACAGCCCTGGCAGACCTGTCCTCCTCTCTCAGTGCCACACTGGCAAGGACAGGATTATTCCAGATACACTGCAAGTCGAGGCAGAGTCCAGGTCCCCAGCACTGCATCCGCTTGCCTGGGAGGGGTCCTGGCCCATTGGGCTGGCAACYTGGTCCCTACCTGTGCCTGAGTCACCCAGCCTTTCTGGGCCCTGGTGTTCTGTCCACAGAATTGGCCTACCAGTTGTTCCCATCACAGGGAACAGCTAATAACTAAATGATGTCACCGAGCCCAGGGTTTAGCACATGGCAAGAGACACCTTTGGCTGTAATAATTATTTTTAATTGTGGGCAAATACACATAGGGTAAGATTTTCCATACCTTTTTTTTTTTTTTTTTGGTGGTATTGGGGATTGAACCTGGGATTACCACTGAGCACCTTACCCCAGCACCTTTTTAGTTTTTATTTTAACAGAGGTTCTCCCTAAGTTACTGAGGCTGGCCTTGTACTTGTAATCCTCCTGCCTCAGCCTCCTGAGTTGCTGGGATTACAGGTGTGCACCAAAGCCCCATCCCCCCCAACCCCCAGTTAGTTACACATGATAGCCCAATGCGTTTCATTTCATGTACACAAATGGAGCACAACTTTTCATTTCTCTGGTTGGACATGGTGCAGAGCTGCACCATTTGTGCAGTCACACATGTACCTAGGGCAGTGATGATCGTCTCGTTCCACCATCTCACCTACCCTGTGCCCCTCCCTACTCAGGATTAGGGCAAAGGGGACCTGGAGTGAAGGAGACACCCAGGTGGGCAGTGGATAAAGACAGAGTTGCTGTTATGTCTGCTTATTAGCCCAGTCTTAAAGCGCACGCCCAGGTCATGCCTGGCTTGGGACACTGAGCTGCAACATTAGGGGGACAGCTTTTCTGCCTGCTGGTTGGTGGGATTGCCGCTCATATCAGCAACATTTAGTGGGTTTAAYGGAGTAATAAAAATGCCCTGACCCGGATGGCCATTTAGGAATCAYTGGCACCAGAATGCCTTCTTCGTTCTTGCTCTCCGGGCTTCCCAGTGGAATCCTCCCCCCTTTTCTAACTGGCGATTTGTAGTCACACGTTATAGTAGGATTTGTTGTTACGTATTTGTTCAGGAACACAGTAACAGTATCATCTGGCCAATACCGTTCCTCAACACTTCCCTTTCTCTCCCTGCCTCCCTCCCCGGGCCCCTTCATCTGCTCCAGTRTCTCCCTTTAGTTTTACCAGGGGCACCCCCACCCCGCCCACTTTCTTTTGGATTCTCTGCTAGAAGAGGCTACAGGTACACACTATTCTCTGACAACCTGAGAATGTAGGACACAGTTGCCAGTTAGGAAAAGGAAATTATTGGCAGACAGATGTTTAAAAACTTGGTTTGTAATTGTTTTTGGATGAAAGTCACCTTCGAGTTTTACCTTCTGAGATTTGGTGTGTGTGTGGGGGGCAGGTATGCAGTCCCAAAGTCATAAGTAATTTAAAATGATCATCTGTATTAATATGAAGAAGAGTCACGCAAGCTAAGGAAATCATCCACAAATAATTAACAAGTCCCACCACATATTACTGTTCCTCCAAGATTCTTCCAAGGTCTGTGTCACTGCTTGTACAACAGGGTACATTGTGTAAGACAGTTTTATTTTCATAGACTACTGCAACAGGAGTGGCCCATTCATTTCCTTATGCTCAAACGTTTTTGTAAGAATTGTAACTTTAAAAAATCCTTCTAAGGTTGAACCTCAAATACCTCTAAATATGCTGATTTTGCATCTGTTGTAATTAGGTCAACCAGTTCCACAAGGAGCCTTGAGTTATGGCTTCCAGAATTCTTGTAATATAGACATTTTAAAGTTAAACTTTGTATCAAATGAAAAAAAGAAACTCTTTAATTGAATGAGCCCTTCAGTACCTCTTGGCTTTGAATTCACTTTTTAAGGCCCTCTCTGCACTCTGCCTGCAGTATTGGGGGGGGACAGGCAGATGTGGGCGTCCCCAGGCGCAGCTCAGAGCCCACAGGCTGCTCACTGGGAGCTGGTGTCCAGGTGGTTGAGACGCTCTGGGCTCCTTGGGCATGGGTGATGCTTGTGGCACACGTCTGTGGAAAGGCCCTGGCTTGCCACTGGGTGGCATCTGTGGCTAGAGATAGAGCAAAAGTGGCCCGCAGAAGAAGAGCGAGGGCACCATCCCAGCCCTCCACTGGCTGGCTTTGAGGCTGGCTAGGCTTGCGAGTGCAGGGACAGAGGATGTCCCACAGGTGCCCAGGCCCCTCATCCTGTCAGCACACCAGGGCCTACTTTCCGCTGCCTTGTTTGTGTATTTATGGGAGAGGAGGCAGAGCCTGTCTGCTCCACCTTGCACCATGGTACCCAAGTGCAGGGACTGCAGCGAGGGGAGGGAGGGAGGAGAGGGCTGGCCTCTGGGCAGCCACAGCCTGGGCCTTTCTGCCCTCTGGAGATGCAGCCCTCCTGAGCCTCGTGGCAGCCCAGCAACTGCTCTTCCTGCCTGCAGGCTGCCCCTTACCCCCACGTGCTCTCTCTCCTGCAGTCTTCAGTTTGTGCCAAGATCGTGCAGCTCCTGGGGCAGAACGAGGTGGACTACCGCCAGAAGCAGGTGGTCATCCTGAGCCAGGACAGCTTCTACCGTGTCCTTACGTCGGACCAGAAGGCCAAAGCCCTGAAGGGACAGTTCAATTTTGATCACCCAGGTGAGTCGGGAGGGCGGGGAGATGGCTCAGTGCTGCCAAGGGAAGGTGCTGCCCTCTGGGCTTCCCCTGGTTGAACGGGGACTCAAGAACTGCCTTGCAGGGCTGTTGTGGGCTTCTGGGGAAGAAGCACCAAGGTGACGGTTGGGAAGCATTTGGGAAGACACTGATGTTGTGCCTGGCTCGTGACACACTGTCACTCTGATGGATGTCTGGGGACCTGTGAGAGCCTGGGCCTCAGCTGGGCCAGCCTTGAATGAYCCGACAGTGGGTCCTCATACCACTGCCAAGCTGCAGCAGCCTGCACTGCACCTGTCACCCGCTCATTGGCCGGCACACAGGCTCAGGGTGGCTGCCTGGGTGTGTCTTGCAGTCAGTTGCTGGAGTCAGGCCTAGCTAGGCTAGGCTTCTGGTGTCCGTAGTCATTGGCCTCCTGGCGAGCATGTGCCAGTCCCAGGCCAGGGCTGAACTCGGGGTGGGGAGGACGGTGTAGGCCTGGGATGCATATCAGGGGCAGAGACCTGCGGTCAGCTCACTTGGCTGGCCTGAGGCCAGGCAGCTTTCACGTCCACCTGGGGCCTGGAGTGCATGGTCATGGGAGGAATTAACTTGAAATCAAGACATTCTGACGGTTTGACTTCCTTCAGATGCCTTTGACAATGAACTCATCTTGAAGACTCTCAAAGAAATCACTGAAGGGAAAACAGTCCAGATTCCCGTGTATGACTTCGTCTCCCATTCTCGGTAAGTGGGTACCTGCCACCCAGAGCAGCCTGAGACTGCATCCCACCCCATCCTTCACCCTCTCRCTGCCAGTGGAGGGATGGTATGGCCCTGTGCCCTGGCTGCCTGTGGGGGGGCGTTCCTGGATGGTCAGGCGGGCATGCTCCATGGTGCTTGGGTGGGGCTGCACACGTGTTCTGGCTCCACACCCCGAGCTATTCCTGAAACAGGATGTAAGGAGGACAGTGGAGGAGGGGCAGGAGGAACAAAGAGCCCTTCTTCCTGCTCTCATGCCGACTTGGGATTGGACCGGGTGGAGGGGTGTGGGGTTGGGGGTTGCCAGGTGCAGGTCTTAGGATCAATCAGACACTCCAGGAGGCCTGTCAGCCCAGGCCAAACAGTTCCTCAGCACAGCTTCACTCTTGGTGGCCCTGACTGGAAACAGATGCTGGCTGGGTAGTGTGTCCTCCTCCCTCTGAGTGTTGGGAATGGGCTCCTGGGGAGTTCCCTCCTGCTACCTGATGCCRGGCACCTTCTGGAGTTTCAGCCGGGTGCTGTGCGTGCCCTCCTGTCTGTCTACTTTTCATTCTTCCCTCCTGGCTCTTTTCTCCCATTCTCTCTTGAGTTGAAGTGTTGATAGGAAATTAGAACTCATCTATTACCAGATGTCTCTGTGATCACGAACCAGCCGTCTCTGCGAGCTCTGTGCCTGCACATCTCAGCCTTAACGCAGTGTGTACCCAGCCTGCACCTCTCTCAGGTGCCTTAGGCATGGCAAGGAACTGGTCCAAGGAGGAMGCCAAGAGGGAGGGCATGGGGCTCGAGATGCAGGCAGCCAAGAGTCGCCATGAGGGAGGTGCCCAGCCCAGGACGCCAGGCATCATGCCCCCGCGTCAGCCGGCGACCCTCCCAGATGATATAGGAATAAAGGGGTTCAGTGTAGGAGTTGCAGCTGATCTGAATGTTGGGGCTGGTAAGTGCAGCCAGAGAGTGAGGGCAAACATCAGTGTCCAGCCTGACCCCTGCACCAGCACACCTTGTCCAGCTCCCAGCCCCTGGTGACGCTGAGAGGTGTTCTCAGTGATCTGGCCTCAGCACCATGCTCTCCTGAGCACTGTGGATTCTGCTTCACGGTCGCCTTCCAAGTGTTCATGGCAGAGTAGCCTGGAACCACAGCAGGAGGGCATCCTGGGAGTTAGTTCCACCAACTAACTAACTAGTAAGGTGTGGTAAGCTGGTGACGGAGTCCGCCCCTGCCCAAGCTCAGGAGGAGGCATTGCAGTGTGGTCCTTGAGAGGAGCCTGGACACCTCCAGCAGTTGCATAGAGCAGCCGTATGTTGGAGAGAGGTTGTTGGCAAGAGATTTCCAAGGTGACAGTTGGGAAGCATTTCAGGGATCGTGTGGACAGTTCTGTGTGGACAGCTGGGGAGCAGGAGGGATGGGTAGGTGTGAGTCAGCGGCTGGACAAGGAGGCAGGAGCCAGGTAGGCCTCAGGTCCTAGTCCTGTGGGGCATGGATGTCAGGCCAAGAAGCACAGATGAGCTAGCAGCGGGGGCCCCAGGAGCTCCACTGCGCAGGAAGGCCATTCTGGAGCAGATGCTGCCCAGGAAGAGGCCTGTGCCACACCTACCAAGGCAGTGGACGGAGGGTCTTTTTTTATTTTTCTTCCCTTGGTACCAGGTATTAAACCCAGGGAAGCTAACCACTGAGCCAAATCCCCACCCCCTTGTTAATGTTTTATTTAGAGACAGGATCTCACTGACTCTTACTAAATCACCGAGGCTGGCTTTGAACCCGTGATCCTCCTGCCTCACCCTCCTGAGYTGCTGGGATTATAGGTGTGCGTCTTCGCACCTGGTGGAGTGAGGGTCTTGATGGAGAGAGGCTCCGATCACTGCAGATGTTTGGCGGTGGAAGAAGTGGAGTACTTCTGCAGGAGAGCTCTGTCAAGTTCATGTGTGGACAGTGGCCGCCCTGGTAGAACTCCCAGGACAGATGCCTTTTATTTTAAACCTCTTCTAGTGACGCAACACTAGTTTTGTGCCTGAGTCTGTGGAGGGCAGGAACTTGCCCAGGGTAGGGGCTGCGACCGCGATCCCCCAGCTGACCTGTCTCCTCTGCTTTGCAGGAAAGAGGAGACTGTCACTGTCTATCCCGCGGATGTGGTGCTCTTCGAAGGGATCCTGGCCTTCTATTCCCAGGAGGTTCGAGACCTGTTCCAGATGAAACTTTTTGTGGATACAGATGCAGACACCCGGCTCTCCCGAAGAGGTGTGTTCCAAAAGCCCTGTTGGTGGCCACCTTGGGGACAGGGGACCTGAGAGTCCATGAGTGGCCCTCCCTACCCCCSTGCCTGAGTCAGAAGTCTGGGCCTTCCCAGGGTAGACGTGTGTCCACATGGCCGAGCCTAGCTACGTCAGTCCAACCCCAGGATGTCTTGCCGCCCAAACACTTGGTGACATTTGAGAAAGGGTTAGTCACTGACTGTTTTGGATGAGACAGGCTGTGAGGTCACTGAGTTGAAACCAGAAGTCCACCTGCTTGTCACACCAGGGAAAGGTGACTAAACACTAGTTCCTTGTGGTCCCTAAAGCCCCCTAATGGATATCTCAACCTTGGCTCAGCCACAGGCCATGGAGATGGGAGAACCTGTCCCCACAGCTCCGGGTGACCCTCCCACCACTGCCACTCCAGCTTTGCCAGTATTTCCAGATGGCACCGAGCAGGCTCTGCTGAGCCTGTGCCCACAGCCAGAGGTGCAGAGGTCTCTGGTGGGGCYGAACTCTGGAGGGTGTGGTGCACTAGGGGCCTGGGACCTAGATGGGATTGTTGATGGCATAGGTAACCCAAGAAGGTGCAGGGCAGGTGAATGGGGGCCACTGCAGGCCCAGGACTTGGTTTGGCTGTTGGCGGGCGGGGACAGCAGGGGAGTGGAGCACTGCTGCTCTCTGTTGGATGGTCATTCTGACAGGAAACGTAGCTGCAGGCGGTTGGGAGGCCATCTGTGGATCTGGACTGAGGCAGGSTGTCACGTAGGTGGTGGGAGAGGGGACAAGAGAAGGTACTAGCAGAGCAGGAATTGGGATGGTGATGGACAGGTGGCGGAGAGGGGAATGAAAGGTGACCAAGTCTGCGTCCCTGTTGTGTGCAAGAGGAGAGGGGGCAGCGAGGGCGGCTGCTCAGCCAGGGCAGTCTAGCCATGGATCCCGGGTCTGTGTCCATCGGAAGGAGTGGTCTCGTTGTCAGAGCTGTTGGTGGAACCGCTGGGCCTTGGGGAAACATGGAGGAAACCACTGGGTGGGCCCTTCTGAGGGGCAGTACCACCACATMGTTGGAGCCCCACTTCTGCCCCTGGCTGGGAGGGACGCAGAGCACCACGTGACAAGAGAAGAGCAGGATGGGAGCCTGTGCTTGGACCCAGCAGAGTTCCGGCCTGTTTTGTGACTTGGGCAGCTCCTGGGACACCCCAGGCATTGGTGTCCTTGTGGGAACTGTGGGACAGGCCTGCTGTAAGCAGTGCAGTTCTGTCGGGGTAGGGTTGTGTGGCTCTGTGGGTGGGTAACGGGAGCCCCAGCCCAACCTCCACCCCTCGATTCTGCTTCACCAGCCTGGGCCCCCCTCGCCTGCTGTGGGTACTCCTGCTGGGACCAGTGAGGCAGCTTGGGGTACAGAGCGGGTACACTTTGGAGTCAGGAGTGGTCCTGGGCTCTTCTTCCTATTAGAGGATCATCTTGGATGAGCACCCCAGTGTCGTGAGGATTAGTSGTTCCGTGGGGTGGCCTATGGTTTGTTAGTTGAGGCCTGGGTGGCAGATAGAAGCCCCTGTGTTCGGGTGGCTGGGGTGCTTTCTCTGGGCTCTCTGTAGGACTGCAGGGGCCACATCCTGGGAGCTGGCACCACTGGACTGATGTGGTCACTGCTGCTGGGCCTCACTCAGCCTGGGGCGCAGGGTGTTGGGGAAGGAAGCAGGGGAGGGGGTCGGGAGGGACCCAGCAGGTCCTCACTGTGCGAGCTAAGCTCCCGTGCCCTCTTCTGGCATGAGATCCCCGTGAGGAGTGGGGAACCCCCTCGCTGGAGGCCTCGGGCCCAGCGCTGCTGACCCGTGCACCCTGACGCTGCAGTTGCTCACTGTCGAGGCTGTTTCCTTCTTACCTGGTGGGCCTTCTCCACGCCCCACCCTGAGCCTCCATTCTCTCCACATGGGACACACAAAGGTCCTGGCATGGGTGTGGGGGGGCACCGGGTACTGAGGGAGAGGGAGGGATGAGCAGGAGCATTCCAGCCCCCTCCTTGCCACGCCCTGCCGCACACATGATCCCACGCTGAGTCAGCTCTGGTGGGGGTTCTGCCTTGGAGAGGTGCTCCTGTACTCAGGACCTGGCTTCCAGGTACTCCCTATTTCACAAGCTCCTCACCTTGCTCACCCGGAGTACAGGGCAGGGGGCACGTGGGCAGGGCGAGCAGGGCTGCTGATGCCCCTCCTGCCACCTCCCTCAGGTAGGGAGGCAGGGTCTGTGGGATGTGCAGTCTCTTCTTTCACTATGGGTGACACAGCTCCTCAGCCAGCCTCTTGCCATCACTATGGGTGACACAGCTCCTCAGCCACTTGCTGATGTGAGTCCACGTAACCAGTGAGGGATTGTCCTTGTCGTGGCTCCTCCTGAATTCCTCTTGGCTGTATCAGGCCAGGAACAGCAGTGCTGGGTTGGAAGGGCTGAAGTGAGGAGGCCAGGCACGGATCGTGGGCAGACTTGTCACTTCCTGAGCTTGACCCCGACCTCTCAAAGGGCCTGTCCTGGCCCAGCAAATGGGTGGGCTTCAGACTGTGGACAGCCGCCAGCTGTGAGTCCCAGGAGTTCTGGTTTGTGCCAAGACCTTGCTCTGACTCAGCCCGTGGCATGTCCTGTTTCTGGCTGTGTCAAGGGGCAGGTTTCTCATTGCAGTGGGCGGTGCCTGCGGGGTCTCTGGCTGCAGAGTTGGGCCTTCTGGTCTGCAGGGTTCCTGTGCCAGGACAGCCTTCTGGCCGCTTTCCTGAGGCACCGTCCCTCTCTTCCTCTCCGTTCCCCCTCCCTCCCTGTCCCTCCCTCTTCATGTGACTCTAATGCACATCTGCTTTCTGCATGACCAGGCACTTCTCGAGCCCAGTGGATGAGCATCCGGGTCTGTAGGACACAGGGAGCCAGGACCTAGTGGGGCGGAGGAGGCTATGTGTGGGGTGTCCTGGCCATGTAGGAGCTCAGGCCTCCCACAGTGCGGAAGCCATGCGCATCCTGTGTTGCAAAACAAAGCCCCCACCAGGGCTGTGGGGAGCCCTGGCCTCCTGGGTGCCAGGGTACTTGCTCTCCTCCAGCTCTGAYGCCCCTTTGATCCGGCTTCCTTTACTGTGGGCTTTATCTGGGGACGTGTGAAGGGCTAGAGGCCACCCTGGCTGCATGTTTTGGTCCTGTTGAAGATGCTAGGGTTCATGGGYGGGAGCTATGTGGCCGTTCCTCGGGTTTCCTCCTGGCTACGTCTGCCCAGCAGACCCACAGGGRCAGCAGGAGCAGAGGCCGCGCCTTCTCCGCAAGGCTGGAGAAAGCTGCTTCCTGGCAGGAGGCGGTGGGCTCTGTGGACAGGCAGAGTGGGTGTGAGGCCAGTCCTGGCTCACTGGGGACCACAGACTTTKCATGACCAGAGCTGGTATGAGCCAGCTGCCCCTGTGGGGTGGCTCTGGGAGGCAGGCTTCCTGTCCTGGGGGGYGGGGTCAGAGCCACTCCACTCCTTCCCGGTGCTTGTTCCTACACGGCTTTCCAGAAGCCCACCCTCAGATCCTGCCTGTATGCGTCTGGTGCGTCTCACCCACACTCGAGCCGTGACTTGAAATGTGGGAGAAGGAGCCAAGGGCCCCTGGCAGTTGATGGTGGGTGGGGTGGCCACCTTTGGCTTGGCTGGGACACACAGCAGCTGGGCAGCAGGATCCCAAGCCACGGAGGGCCGTGTTGGTGAGGCCTAAGGGGCCGAGGCTGAAGGAGGTCGGGGTGTAGTGGCAGAGCCAGGGCTACCGGCCCCCTTTCTGTTTTTTGACAAAGGAATTAACAAAGTGGCGAAAGTCCCTGAATGAAATGGACTAGGCGACGTYGATAGTGGTGGCCGTGTCTTGTGCCACCTGGGTTGCTTCTTTGCCCCGGGCCACTGTGTCCTTTCAATAAAGACAGTCCTTCAGTTTGCAAACCTCTATGCCTGAAGTGGGCAAGGCCTCCCTGMCCAGGTGGCTGTGAGGAGCCAAAAATGAACTCATCTGTCCTGCTGTAGGGGGTTRCTGGACTTCCAGACAAGATAAGTGGGAAGGGTGTGTGGAGCCACCACCTGCCTGGGCCCAGGTTGCGGCCTGGGACCCTGAGCCCGTGCTGGGTGTGCAGCTCACATGGGAGTCTGGTTTGGGCCTGCTGTGGGCTGACACAGGAACRCTGCGGGCTCTGGCCCAGGCAGTCTTCTGTCTCCCACGATATTTTTGGTGAAATCCGGGGAAGTAAGACTTAGACTCACAACTTGTTTCTTTGAAGCTGCTGCTGCCCTGTTCTCACMGGTGAGGAACCAGCTTGTGGCCTGTGGGAGTGAAGGGAGCCCAGGGCCTGCTCTCCCACGGGCAGATGCATGGTGGCCCCCACACTGTTTTATTATTGATCCTTGTTTTTCTTCTCTTATAGTACTGAGGGACATCAGCGAAAGAGGGAGGGACCTTGAACAGATTTTGTCTCAGTATATCACGTTCGTCAAGCCTGCCTTTGAGGAATTCTGCTTGCCAGTGAGTTGCATTTTGGCTTGTTTTGTTGGATATACACTTAATTTTGTGGTGCACATAAAGGTATGCAAGTCGCTGCAGTCCCTAGCTCGAATCTCCTTCCTGTCTCCGAGCATCTCCAGCCTGAGTCCTAAGAGAGGGCAGCCTTAGGTGCTTGGTGTCCTGTGTGTTCCTGGGAGCTCCGTCCTTCTGTTCTTCCTCTGAGAGCCCCTGAGGGCCATACCAGGCCTTCTGCTGGCTCTGTAGGCTCAGCAAGTTCTGCACTTCGTGTGAGGTGGTGTGGCTGTCAGGTCCAAGGGTGGTCCTCTGCGTGCCGCAGGGTGGCCCTCTCAGCCTCCTCTTGTGCCCTCCAGTCCTCCCAGGCAGCTGGGAATGCTGAGGTGAGACAGTGTGGAGACAAGGTAGGGGGTCGAGGGCCTTGGAAGCCAGCCCTCAGCCTGGGGCACACTGTGCTTCCTTGGGGACCCAGAGAGGCCTGCTGGGAGCCTGCTGGAGAGCRGGGCGTGACCCAGGGTGGCTGAACCATGGCGGAGCCCCTGGTGATTCATGGCTGAGCCCCAGCGGGAGGAGGGGGAGGCTGGTGAAGGAGTTAGGGAGRTCTTTTGGGGACTGCAGTCTGGAGAGGCCTTGAGCAGGGTGGGAGTAAGACTGGGCCTGGGCATTCCTCGGCCTGTCCTGTGATCAGCTTCTCTCTCCTCTCCTGGGAAACTGTGTTCCCAGCCTGTCTCTTGAAGTCTGTTGGTAGATCTTACATCAGGTTGGACTTGACTTGTTTCCAGCCAGCACAGGTAGGCTTTCTAAGCTGGCCTGAGCAGCCTTGACACCTGTCCATCAGCCGAGGGGACGCAGGAGCTGTGGAAAGCTTTGTGTCCATTCAGTGTCCAAGGCCCTTCTTGCTCTAAACTCAATAATAAACACCCAGAGTGACCTCATTGTCAGACACCACTTTGCCATTAACCTAGTTGGAATGCAGTGGAAGATTCTGGACAAATGCCTTTTGGGTTGTTGCTGCTTATTCCCACTGTCAGCCCTTCTTTGCTCRGGAAAGACCAACTTGTTCCTCCGTCAGCCGGGGACTGAGAGCTGTCTGGATTGGCCTTGGGCCTGGCAGGACTGTGTGCCAGCGCCTGGTGTTGGAAGTTCACCGTGAGGCTGCTCACACGGCAGGCGCGGAGAGTGCCTACAGAGCCAGGGAAGCTGGTCGGGGGCCACGGGCCTTTTCTGGCCTTTCCTGGGCTAAGTCCCGTCACCTTCGGACTGTGTCAGAGCCCAGATGGCCTGGCCCCCTTGAGCCCGGTGGTTCTTGTTCCTCTCTTTCCTAGTCTTAGGGCCCTTGTGTGCCTGGCCCACRTTCGGTGCAGGTCGTGGTGCAGACTGTTGGGCTAGCCCAGGAACTAAGAGGCCCCTGGTTTGCTGGAACGTGGATGGAGTRCATCCAGGTCAGGCGCCTGATGAGCAGTCAGGTCGTGGGTTGCTTTGAGGTGCCGCCCAGTCGGGACCRGTGCCCTCACTGACACGGAACACCTTCGCCCTGTTCCTCTTGCCCTTGCCTGCTCCCTTCCTCCCTGGCTCTGAGGAAGGCTGGCCCTTGTTCCTGGGGAGGGGCTGGTCCCTGCACTCTGAGCCCCTCTGTTAACACACTCTGCATGTCTTTCTCCACAGACCAAGAAGTATGCCGATGTGATAATTCCTAGAGGTGCAGACAACCTCGGTGAGTCCCTGCGGGCGCTTCACCCCTGTAGCTGCCAGCCACAGGCCGGGGCAGGGTGTGGTGGCATGGGCTCTGTGCTCTACGACGGGAGCAGAGGCATTCCCTCTGCAGCCCTGTCTTGGGATCATTCCCTGAGTGGTGTGCAGTGTGTGAGGGCAGGCAAGGGCTGTGCCCTTGGAGGAGCCGTGGCCTTCTGCTGGTTCCCAGGGTGACCCCTGGGTGCCTCGCCACCTGGCTGCACAGCAGGCCGCCTCCTCAGTGTGATGCAGAGGATCTGCTCTCGCGGGTACCCCCAGAACACAGCCGGCTAGGCCCCTGGGTGCTGTGTGCGGGTGCTGGCTCGCCTGGGAGTCCACCCAGCTCCTGACTTGGCGTCTGTGGCAGAGGTGGGATGTCAGATAGGACACTGTCTTCTCTTTTTTTCATTTGTCCTCCATTTAAAACGTTGATTGCCAGGTGCAGTGGTGCACATCTGTGATCCCAGTGACTTGGGAGACCAAGGCAGAAGGTCTGCAAGTTCCTGGCCAGTCCAGGTAGCTCAGCAAGACCTTGCCTTACAATTAAAAACAAAACAAACGAAACAACAACAACAAAATGGTGGTGCTGCTCAGTGGTAAGAGTGCTTGCTTCACGTGTGGGCGGCCCTGGGTTCAGTCCCGAGCAGCGCACTCACAGTTGGCTGAGTGGTTTGGGAATTTGTCATGGTGATCCTTTTTTTTTTTTTTTTAAAGCAGTACTGAGGACGTGCCCCAGGTCCCCTGCATGCTAGGCAAGCAAGTGCTCTACACTGAGGTGTACCCCCAAGCACCACCCCTCCCTGTAAATTCTGAGACAGGGTCTCACTGATTGCCCAGGCTGGCCTCGATTTTATGACCTTCCTTTCTCAACATCTCAGTAGCTGGGTGTTTTATCAGCATTTTCATTGCTGTGACCAAAAGACCTACAAGAGCAACACAAGGAGGGGGGTTTATTTGGTGCTCACAGTTTCAGAGGTTCATGGTCAGCTGAACCCATTGCTCTGGCCCAAGGTGGGCAGAACATGATGGCGGAAGGGCATGGCAGAGGAAAGCAGCTAGGACATGCCAACAGGGAGTAGAGAGAGCTCTGCTCACCAGGAACAAAGTACAGACCCCAAAGGATGGACCCATGGATTCGGCTCAGGCTCTCGACCCACTCATTTCATCTCCAGGCTCCCTTGCATTGTCTCTCACAGCTTTTGGGGGAGACCTTGTATCCACATCACAGCCCTGGAATTAGAGGCGTRGGCCACCTTGCCTGGCATCACCACGTGGTGAAGAATGAGGACATTCTGACCCACAGGCACAGTGCGGTCACCGTGTTCAGGAGAARCAACATTGACATGATCTCTAGCCAGCAGAGGCTCCTCAGCCTGTCTCTGGTCTTCATGACAGTGACAGTGGCAGTACAGGGTTGCTGGTGGGCAGATGGCCCTCAGCTGGGCCATCCTTTGTGTCTGGTGACCCGATGAGTGTGGATTGCAGCAGGAGCACCCCGTGTCTGTTCCGTGCTTGGTGACCTTTGCCTCAGTTGGTTGAGGGGTGTATTTTGTTTCTGGTGGGCATACATGTGGCTCTGCCCTATGCTCTTGAGGGAGGAGAAGCCCTTTCCTGGGGTTGCCCTCTCTAGGTGGCAGGCTCCTTAGTCAAGGGCCTCATGGCCAACTGGGGGTGTCAGTTGGAGAGTTGTGCTGGTTACTTTGCCGCGGGGCACTCTGGTCCTCGCTGGTGAGAAGCCCTTTCTTTGGCATTGTCTGCCTTCCTCCTCATGTGCTCCTGTAGGGGACATCATGATAGCCCGTCGAGGCCTGGAGGTTGTGACTTGGCTGCAAATGCCACTTCCCGGGGTGCCTTGCCTGTGCTTCCCGTGTGCCTGTCCACACATCAGACCTGTGTCCCCTGCCACCCCAGCCCTCTAGCCTGTCCCACTGTGTCCACCAGTGCTCCCAGCCCTGCGCATGTGGCCTCCCTCCCTCCCAACCCTGCTGCTCTCTGTCCTGCAGTGGCCATCAACCTCATCGTGCAGCACATCCAGGACATCCTCAACGGAGGGCCTTCCAAGCGGCAGACCAACGGCTGCCTCAACGGCTACACCCCTTCACGCAAGAGGCAGCCATCGGAGTCCAGCAGCCGGCCGCATTGATCCGGGTTCTGCAGACCCGCCCGCCTCCGAGACACCGCTCACCTGTACACACCGTCTCCTCTGACATCGCTGTATTTAGGAAAACACCTTGGGGATGAAATGCCTTTGATTATTTTCTTTTCCTGTTTATACTTCGGAACGGCGAAATCCAACAGGACTTGACCTGAGCTTAAGCAACAAACCGTGCCAACGTCTCCTGGTGATGCCTGATTATGAATCCAACGTGTAACCAATTATAAATACATACATATATAGAGAGATATATATAAAAGGATCTATTTTTGTGTAAATGTACAAATACTGTACAGCTCTTTGCCGTATTTTACAGGGGCCTGGCTTGTGTATGTGGGGCCTGGAGCTGGAGCTGTGTTGTGGGGAGTGGGCCGGCTGATGCCCCTTGGCTTGGCATCCAGGAGCTCGGCAGGAGTGGGGTCAGAAGCCTGATGGCCTCCTGTGAGAGCTGAAGCTTGGGTGCTTGATAGGAGGGACTTGTGTCCTCCTTTGCGTTGAATTAGTGAGCTCAAAACTTAGAATCGATCTCAGGGGAGAGGACAGGTCTGCAGAGGCTGCTGGCCCTGCCCCACCTCTGGTTCCTGGCCAGTTCTTTCTGGCCTCTCCAGGAAGCCAGAGCCACAGGGCTTGGGGGTCACTTCCAAGTGATAAGTCGGGAGGGAGGGAGTTCAGTTGAGTCTCCGGCCTGTCCTCGAGGACCTGCTGGTTCTCGGGTGTGGCACTCCTTGGCATTTCTGTCTCTGCAATGTCATGCAGCCGAGCTCCTGGGCCCTGGGGATGAGCTGCCCACACGAGGGACTTTTGTTGGACGTGATGGGGGGATATGCAGTGAGAGGGGGTAGTGTGCCCATGGTAGGGGATCTGGCCAGCCGTGGTAGGACAGGATGGGGCTTCCTAGGCGGACTACAGAGGAGGTGTTTTAAAGGAGCATATTTAAATCATGGCACGAAGCTGGAGTCCCAGATGGAAAGCACTGGGTGGTGATCCCTTTCCCACGGGTGGCCTCTTGGTGGAGATCTTGTGGGGAGGAAGTGTGCATTCTAACGCACTGGCAGGAGGCGGAGGAGTTGGGGGCCCCGCGGGGTGAGGCTGGTGTGAGTGAGGAGTCCGGTGCCCCAGTTTCCACCTGCAGAAGAGCCAGGGCTCGCCACACGGGGGCCACCCTCCTGGTGCTTGGCAGGCCATGCCCTCGGTCACCCCGCTGTGGCTGCCATGCCGACATTGYAGAGCCTTCTCCCTCTGCAGCTCTCGGCCTCTTGAGCCTTCAGGGCAGTCTGCCTCCTTACTCTAGCCACCCGCTTCCCTCTGGCTCCCTTGCACTCCATCGGCCCTCCAGTCTGGTTGCCATCTGCTGCCCCCGAGGTCCCCAGGAGACCATGCAGGCTGGGAGGGAAGCTCGAGGGCTCAGGGTGGCTCTGAGGCGGGTCCTCAGCGAGTGGCTGCACTGGAGAGTGCTTCAGGGCCAGATTCGCCTCTCCACAGTCATGGCTGGTGCAGGGTGGGTGCAGTTGGGTTAGCATCCCGAGGATGTGGCCCCCAGCCTTGCTGGGCCCGCCCGGGCTCAGTCGGAGCCCGTCCTGCAGGGAGCCTCAGCCTTCAGAGGCCAGCACCCAGCATGCTGACGTTACTTGAAGCTCCCAGGTGCCACACCATTTAGTGCCTTGGCCATGTATCCCACTGCCCGAGGGCCGGTCCTCCTCCTCAGAGCCCTCACTTACTGAGCCGCTTCCTCATCTACCTGTGGTGTTGGGACCAACCTCCAGGGTCTCTGAGCCACCCACTCCCAGCCTGGACACAGTCAAGGGCTGCCCTGTCCCCTCATGAAATGATCACAAGTCCTCACAGCTCGGCCAGAGGCCCTGGGCAGTGCTTGCTTGGGGCTGGACACACTGCCTGGGTGCAGGAAGGGGATGGCAGGGGGAGGGTCCACCCTCTGTGGCAACCCAGCCTCCAGCCTCCTGTGTGTCGGACTTGAGCTTCCTGTARGACAAACCAGGTGTGGAGTTTTAAGTCTCTGGATGTCCCATACAACTGGAGAGTCGTGAGACCGCAGGCCTCAGGGTCTGTCCCCTGGCACTCGGAGCTGTGGTGGAGGAGGCATGGGTGAGCAGAGCAGGCAGTGTCACAGGTGTGCCTGGGACCCTGGGGCTCCCGAGGGATTGGCTCACGTCCCGCTGTCTGCACAGGTGCTGTCTGTGGATCGAGTCAGTGTTCAGGGGAGAATCACCTGCGCCTGGGCCGGGAGACTGGGCCTCGTCCACACCAGTGCAGCTCCTGCTGGGCACGTTCCTTCCTGGGCAGCTGAGACTGGTGTAGGGAAGACAGGCATCTGAGGAGGGCACGTGTTGTGGCCTCAGGTGTCCTTTGATTTGGAGCGGGAAGGGAAGGCCCCAAGAGCAGCCATAGGTCCCACAGAGGACCTGCACAGACAGGCCAGGGAGGGGTGGGGAGTCCCTGGTGTGCCTGTCCCTAGGACTCCAGACGTTCAGCGTTGGCCCCACTTAGCYGTCGTGGGCAGCCTGACTCCTGCCGCTCCWGGGCTGGGGACTGGGCTTGCTGCCGTGCCCAGGTAGGTTGCCACTGGGTCAGACTGGAGGTGTGCTCCTCAGGGCAGCGGGGCAGGGCRTCTCTGCTGCCTCGTGCAGGCCTTGGATGCGCAGCCTCGGCCTCAGCCTGTGCAGGGAGCGTGTCCCAGGTGCCTGTCCCAGGTCCTGCCCCTGGGAGAAGCTGGCTGGCAAGGACAGGCTGGTCTGGATGCAGGATACCCTTTTCTCAGGGGGAGCGGGCACACATACTTGGTGTCACGATGAGAGAGTGCACAGGCCGGGAAAGGCACATCTAAGAGCCCTGGAGCTCAGAGCCCCTTCAGGCTTCTGTCCCTGGGCGTCCCTCCTGTACTGGGTGTGGTGACTGGGTCCTGGTCAGGGTCTGCAGCTCTGGGGCAGCGAGTGGCTCAGAGACTTCAGTTTCCTTCCCTTGGAGATGCTTGCTTCCCTTTATTGTTGGTGGCCACAGAAAATATGTACTTTGCTGTAAATAAAGACTGAATGAAAAGACCAACTCTGGCCTTGTTCATGGTGTCTGGTCAGAAGAGCCTGTGGGTGCTGGCTGGGACGGCGGGCCCCGCCGTTGCAGAGGAGCTGTGTTCTGGGGTGCAGGAGCCCTGGCTGAGCATGTGCTCCTTAGGAACGGCAGGCTTGCCCCACTCACGCAGAAAGCCCAGGCCCGGGCTTCTGGGGCCTGGCGTCTCCCTTTACGCGACTCACTGCTGAGGGGCGTGCCGCGGGTGAGGAGAGGCACCTTGACTGTGCAGAGGGCTCRCGTGGACCACAGGAGCTCACTGCACTGTGGAGTGAGCGTGAGCCTGTCCTTGTTTGCAGCAGACCCAGGTCACCTGCCACTCTAGCCCCCACCTCCTGGATCCCAGTGACACCCTACATAGCCTCCATCTTCTGGGCTCCCAGTGACACCCGGCCTAGCCCCCCCCCCCGCCCCCCGTCTCCAGGTCTCCCAGTGACACCCTACCTAGCTCCCGTCTCCTGGTCTCCCAGTGACACTCGACCTCACCCCCATATCCTGGCTCCCAGTGACACCCGGCCTAGCCCTCCTCTCCTGGTCTCCCAGTGACACCCTAGTCCCATCTCCTGGTCTCCCAGTGACTCCCGACTTAGCCCCTGTCTCCTGGTCTCCCAGTGACACCCTAGTCCCATCTCCTGGTCTCCCAGTGACACCTGACTTAGCCCCTGCCTCCTGGTCTCCCAGTGACACCCTAGTCCCATCTCCTGGTCTCCCAGTGACACCCAACCTATCTGTCTCCTGGACTCCCTGTGATCCTCATTAATGAGCACAGTGATGTGCTGTCCCTGGCCACTGGCTCCCCTGTGACTCATGTCATCCCACCTGGACCAGCAGGACCGACTGGGCTGGTCGCAGYGTTTCAAATGCCTCTGTCCATCCACCGAGCTTGATGGCTGCCTCCTGGCTCACCTGTGCCGTGGGCAGAGGCCCTGCACGCCAGTGCTGGCTGTGGTTCGGGTCTCCCCACCCGAGTACTACCCAGGGATGCCCTGAGTGGGTCAGCTGTCCTCCCCATCACAGGTGCTGTGAGCCGGCCTTGCCTGGCCCAGTAGGGCAGCTTCAGTGCAGGCCAGCCATGGCACGGACTCCTTCCTGTTAAGAAGGAGTTAAGGTCAGAGGGCGGAGGGGACGCGGGGTGGGGGGAGTCAGCTCTGAGAGGACAGAGCCAGAGAGGCGGTCTCGGTTGTTTGGTGCAGGGGGATGTTCAGACTTCTGTTCTGAAGCAGCCATCAGTGATGTCTGGGCTGGGGGTGTAGCTTAGTGTCAGGGTACCTGTGGGCCACGCGTGGCCTGGGGTTCTACCCCAGCACTGAAAACAAGCAATTCTGAGCCCAGGATGAAGTGCAGCCACCAGCTAGGCTGTGGGTGTGGCTGTTAATGTGGGTGCATATAGATGTCAACCAAAATAAGAGCCACGTGAGTGAGCACCAAATCCAGACTTCTGTTCTCATCAGATGGGGGGAGGCGAGGGGCAGGACGCTGGGACAGACCAGCTCATTTCTGTGCAGCCTGTTGTGTCCTTTCCTAGGAGGGCTGTGGGGCTGGGTCTCCTGGTGCCTCTGGGRTGTTGCCTGGAGGGGACTGTGCGGTCTTCAGGCAGCCATGCAGTCCAGCCTGAGCCTGGTCCAGGGAGAGCCAGCTGGCCTCTGCCTCCCAGCTCACCAGGTGGCTAGTGGTGGGTGTGCATCCTCTGCCAGGGCCAGGCCTCCGTCTGTCTCTGAGCTGCTGGCCTCAGTGTGGTGCTCACGTTTGACCACTGCGCTTGTCACGCTTTATGCCAAGAGCCGCCCTGAGGGTATTTAAGGAATGTGGCCGCACTCCAGTGCCCAGGGGGAAGCTGATTCAGCTCCGAGCTGCCGGAAGGGGGCCCGGAGGTTGTCTGGGGCGTGTCTGCCATCTAGCGGTGGGCCCGGTTTGCCTTGGGTGCTGGACCGCGTCCATCTCTTGGCCACCATGGCTTCCAAGAGTGGACCAAGTGCCCTCCAAGTCTCCTGCTGTACAGGGCTGGACTTCGCCAGGGTGAACAAGGCTGACTCTCCCTCGCTGCAAGCTTGGTCGGCTCCTTCCGACCAGCTGGCAGGCTCTGGGGGCTTGTTAGGGATCTTGCTGGGATCCGATCCTGACAGTGCTGCTTCTGCAGGCCTAGGGAGGGAACCCTGCCTATCAGCTGTCCCGTGAGGCTGGGGCCGGAGCCAGGGACCTCGTGGATCTGACCACGTGCACCTGGGATCTGCGCAGCACCCACAACCCTGCGGCTCCGAGTGCCCTGCTGCTGTCCGAGGCTGGGCGTCCTCAAGACCATTTGTGGCTGGCTCAGTGGCCTCGACAGACCCCAAAGCTGCCTGTTGCTTTGCTGGGATGTGTAGGGCGTCTGGAGCTGGGCGGGTCTCTAGCCGACCGTGGCCTTCAGTGTGCCTGCCTTGGGGCCCTCACAGAATCCTGCCTGAATCTCCAGGCAGAAAATAGAAGGGGCCCACAAAGCTGGCGAGGGTCCCGAGCTCTGCAGGCCCAGGGCCCCCATTCCACAGGCCAGAACGGGCCCAGAGTCACGGTCACTGTGTCCAGTGCTACCAATAGGCTCTGGGTCTGCAGTGGTTGACACACTCTGGGGAGAGAACTGGAAYTGAACACCTTTGAAAAGCGCATTCAGCAGTCAGTGTTGGTGTGTGCTGTAGGGGTCCCTCCGTCTGCAAAGGGTATCCATGTCGGTGGCCTGTCTGGGAAACAGCAATGCTCCTAAGCGGACTTTGCTCCCTCTCTTGGCAGCGTGGGCCTTGGCAGGCTGTTTGGCTTCAGCATCTACACCTATGGCTTTAGGGTGCCCCCCGTGCCCCCCACTTTGCCTGCAGTACTGGGTGAGAGTGTGGGGGTGAGTGGCAGGCCTGCCCCTGGACGTGAGTTGCTCTCCAGGTGGCAGTGCCCATCCTCCAAGGGTGCCCTAGTGACAGTTGTGGTGAGGCTGCGTGGCTTGGGGAAGAGTCCCTTGGAGGCCCACCACCCACCTGTTTCTGAGGCTGTTCCCTCCTGGTGCCCACCCCCAGGTGGGGCTCTGAGTGAAGCTGGTTCCCGGATGGAGCAGGGAAGGACGTTGTTGAGCCCTAACAATGGGCTCCCATTTATTGGTGTGTGGGGCCACAGGGTGAGATACTGTGTCCTCCCGTTCCACAGCAGCCTGCCTGGGGTAGATCACAGAGGGCATGGCCCTGCAGGAGGGCAGCCTGCGCCCTGCCTGGAGCCACGTGCCCGCTGCTTGTGACGTGCCAGCACCCAGGCTGCAGAGGCCACACCTTCCTCCGTAGGCTGCAGTCGATTTATTTTTGGTGCCACCGGCCCCTCTGGTCTGCAGAGGGGCCCTTCTCAGACTCCTGTCTCTACCTTCCTGAAAGAGCTTCTCAGAACCCCGCTGCGTGTCCGCGGCAGGAGTACAGACGTTGCCTAGAAACACACCACGTCTAAGTCCAGTCACCAGCTCAGCATGTGTGGGGTGTGAGCCTCAGTGACACTTGGGAATCTGCAGTGACACACTCAGCTGATGTCCCTGTGACTCTCTGGCCTCTGACGGTCACCGTGGAAGGAATGCTGGTAAAAATGAATGGGTCATTTTTCAAGTTCAGGGGCCCCCTGAGTCCTGCTGAGGGCCTCTGTCCTTAACCTCTGATCAGGAACCCCGACCTGCATCCCCAGCCAGCCCAGGTGACCAGGGTTGGCCCCAGGCGCTCCCCTTCTTGCTTGCCCTGCGTGAACCCCCAGTGTGCAGGCTCCTGGAGGGACCCGGTGCCTGGCGGTAGCAGCGACCACAGAGGGAACTCAGTGTTCTTGGAACTACCTTTAAAGAGTCAAGTTAACGTGAACTTACTTATAAAATGTATCCAGAATACTATCAGCAGGGCCCGAGCAGTTACTCCTGGGGCATCTGGGTGTGTGCCACCTGGCGTCTCGCACCCACAGCTCGGGGAGCTGGGACCACGGCTCAAGGGCTCATGGCCACGTGTGGGTGGCTGTCATTGGCAGCATGGCTCACAGGTGTCAGGGCTGGGCAAGGGACTTGCACAGTCCTCCCCTGACACCAAGGGGACACTGGCTGGGAGTGGGGAGTGGCCTGCCCSGGGTCATGGCCAGCTAGCTGAGGGCTGAGCTTTGGTGGGGACGGCCTGGGGGCTCCACCAGGCTGCCCCTCAGGCAAGGCTGCACTTCTAGCCTGAGGCAGGAGCAAGGCTGGCTCCAGGGCCCAGGGCGGCCCAGGGGGGCAGTGAGGAGCCAGGCAGGACGCACAGCTGGAGCACGTGGGGTTCAGTGAGGAGACCCTCACGCACTGCGGGAATGGCTGAGCCCACCGCTGCCTTTCTCTCCTGGGTGGAGGGGAACAGCCAGCCACCCGCAGGGAGCTGCTGGGGCCGTCTCTGAGGTGCTGTTGGGTGGGTGGGGACAGATCAGGGGTCCTTGCTCCACCGTGTCCAGAGGAGCTGGTTAAGGAACGGAAGGTCGAAACTCACGGGATTCCAAGGGCAAAGTCGGGGACATCAGGCTCCTGCTGGCCTGAAAGCAGACCCCATCTGCAGAGCTGTCTCGCTGCTGCCCCTGCTTGACCCCGGAGGGCTGCCCACTTAGTGGTCCCAGATGGGGGGCTACCACCGCGGGTCTCCTTGTCTCCCACGACCTTGGCGTGCCGTGCTGGGACTTCCTGTCCCCGGCAGGCGCTGCACAGACACCCAGCACACAGAGCTCCTTTGGCCTGGCCCCTTTTGAATTTGAAGTCCTTTCTTTGGAATTCTTTTGGAATTCTTGGTGATATTGACAGTCACTCGCTCTGGCAGCCCCCTGCTCTGCCAAGTGAGGAGGACAATCCCCGCCCTCCTCAAGTTCMTGGCTTAATAGAAGGTCACATGACATAGCTACCGCAGGACTCGAAGGCAGCAGCTGCAAGGTGGAGGGTGACGCTCATTTTCAGCACAAAGTGTGACGA